TCGGGTCACTTTTGCCAGTCCAGGCCCGGATAAAGGAGCAGGGTTGGAATTGTGACATTAAAAAATAATAATTGCTAAAAGAAATGTAATTTGTAGTTCTAAATTCGTTTAAACCCAATTGTTACACCTGGTAGAGCAGAACGCTGATCATTTTATTAAAGATTAAAGACTTGAGACAGTTTTTCAACTCTCAGTAATGCCATAGTGATCGTTTGATATATGGACCTGCAGCGGAGTTTAGGTCCAGACACGGCTAGTGACGTCAGACTGAACAACCGGATGGTTGGCGTTTTTCATGGATTGAGGAGGGAACAGTGTTTTAGCAACAAGCTGCTAGCAAAACCCACAAGAGCGCCCCAAAAGATAAAGGCTCTTTGCTAAGTTGTGTTGCTGGGAGAACTGTAGCTCAAGGCCACTTTAAAGAATTAAACATGTTTGTCTCCAAAATACAGAGCGACCTGCGCGACTTTTGCACAATACTATAGTTTCATGTTGTATAGCTTCTCAGATGTAATTAAGAATGTGGAATATTCATGAAAGTTTTCAATCAGCAACATTTTAAAACTCAGGAATCACCGTGTGTGATGCATACAGCAACAATGTTGCAGAACAGTAAATAAGACAAACATCGAATTCTTGTCAAAATTGTTGAAATGTTTATTTAACTGAAAGATTTTATGTCAACTCAAATAAGACATTTTTTTAACCTTAAAAAAAGGGACATACATTTTGCCGATAAAAGAAAGAAAAACAAACTCTGAAGAAAGTGCTTTTTTTACTTAAAAAAAATCCTGGCATTGAAACTAGAACATTCTCCGCCAAAGACGATGAAGAAGGCCCTCCTGCTCCGACCTCCCCGCAGCTCTAACGAGTTAAAGGGTCTCTGGCAAAAAACACCTTTCTTCCTGTTGTGACATCACTGTATGAGCCCTGATTGATCAGTCCGTGTAAAAATATGAAGGACTTCCCACTTTGATATTTACAACTGCCACTTTGGGGTGATTCGCCTTTTCCGAGCCGGAGGTGATAAAATGAGTCCAACGGGCGCTGCTGACGGTCTGTCTGAAGGAACGTTTCGGTCCAGCTGTGAGAGTTTGAAAAGCGACAGATGTTCCTACTTCTTAACATTTTAAAGATCAGTAAACCTGTTTGTTCCCAGAGAAACGTGACGCGTGAAGAGTTCTGACCCAAAGGCGCCAACCACACCAAAAACAAGCCTGTTGTAATTTCCTCTAGTCGCCACTAGATGGCAACGAATCTCCTGACTCAGATTATGCATTTTCAAAAGACGTTTGTTATAAATTATTGGACTGCATTAGTCACGAGATCTGTAGTTCCAAACTGAAGGGGGCTAAAATGTAAACACAGCAACATGCTGATACTAGTGCCAAATATCGATATTTTTAGTGAAATACTTTGAATCAGTCTTCATTCTCCTGCTGATGCTTATAAACGAGGGGGACGTGATGCCACACACTTTATTGTCACTGTTAACAGCAACGTAATGTGCCACTATCATATCATAATTTACTTTTCAATCCCTGCTATCAAACCACTTTCCCACTCTCATGGTCTGTCTGAAGGAAATCATGTCTTTGTAATTCTTGAGAGCGATACTGATATCTGAGGATTTAACAAACAGATTTCACTATTCTCCAGCCCGGATCAGCTGACTCATCCATATGTATGGAGGTTTAATTTTCATGGATCAGTATATCTAAAACGCTCCTACTGATAAATTGGCAAACGTGATAAATTTGTCAGGATCTAAAATTTACAACTTTACTTTGACTGAGAGACCGTACGAGACATTTAGGCTTTTAAAATGATTAAAAAGTCAACAAAACAAAGTTGTAGATTAATTTCCCATTATTTACTATTAATCTAAAATGTTCACATTAGCTACAGATATCCTGGTTACTGCGATGAACTTCACTGTAACAGCCCTGACACTCAATGCTCTCCATCCCCTTGTAGGCAAATAATTATCCCTGTGACTGAGCTGGAAAAGTTGCCCCAATAATAGATGGAAATCTAAAATAAAGGCAAATTCAAACAGAGCAACATTTCAATAGCACCTGAACTTCTGATTCTTTACATTTCTGGCAAAGTTTTACTTTCATCCTCTGTTATTAGAAAAAGAGCCGACTATAAAAAATAACTTTTGGGAACTTTTAGGGATTTGTTTTAATATTTAAGAGCATAAAAACAACGTTTCTGTTTATTCCCAGGACAGGATCAGAACTCTTCACACGAAAGCTGGAATAAAACTCCTCGGAGCATCGCTTTTATAATTTCCATTTGACCGACACATTTCAGACCAACGTGCAGACGCACGGCCCCTCATGCTTCTGCTTTTGTCTGGGATTAATCCTTACGCTCATCTTCAATATAATCTATAATCATATATTTCTATTTTCAATAATAGGCTTGATGTGAGTTTGTTTCACTCAAGATAATACAATGCTTTTTTCTTTATCGTAATATTAGCAAATATTCAAGAGCAAAACATTGTCGAATGTCTCGTCATATACTTCTAAGAGAGAAACAAAATAAATTAAATCAGTTTCTGTTTGTACATACTTACATGATATGAATTTATGTTTAGCTTCGGTCGAAGCCGTTAGTTTGTACGGAAAAATAAACGGAGTTGAAGGCTGCAGCTGTTAGTATATGAAAATTAGCACGCCGACTTTAGCTGAGATGGGGCTTCAGAAAATAACGATTCCAAACAAAACAAGAAAAATACGAAAGAAACGTACCTCATCGTAAAACCGGGGGCGGCTGCGACGCGCTCCCCTCAAACCCCGCCCTCGTATCAAAACATATGTCGCACTTTGTAATGGTCGATATCGTTTAGGGTTTTTTTCTCTTTGTAAATATCCTTTTCAAAAAAATAGCCTAAGGAAAGCAAATAACATGAAAATAGAGAGTGAGCCACACGCACTTTAAAAGCCGGGATCTTTCCTAACGATTGTCCTCTACTGCTGCGAGTTTTCCACTTTTTGGTAAACAGTCGGCACGACCCGGGGACCGCACTTCCTCTCAGACTGAGCATGACCTGAATGCAATCTAGATGCCAGCGCTGGATTCTGGGAGCTAGTTTGCAGCGGTTACGCAGCCTGGGAGTAAGCACCAAAATTCAGGGCAAAAAAGTCGACCACCACCTCCCCCTGGTGCCGGAAACTCTGCCTCGGCTCCGCTTTTCCTTCCTTGGGTCTCTGGAGCAGAATTGTCTTTGCATCTTCCTCAATAATTCTTCAGCCACCAGGGGGCGCTACATGTTGTAGGCCACATAGATTGGGTCCAGCTGGTCGGCCAGGAAGCCGTCCCGCAGGTGCATCCTCTGCTTCTCCCCTCTGGAGTTGATGGGGATGACGCCGATGTCCACCACCACCACCACGCCCACGATCAGGTAGTGCTCCTCCAGCACCACGTTGGTGACGAGGGGGACCAAGTCCAGGGCCTCCTGCTCCGAACCGTCCAGCTCCACCACCACCACCAGCAGGTTGGTCCACGTGAACACCGCGCTGCGGACACACATGACGAAAACTTGAATTCTTGTCACCCCAGAAGGGGCGGAGTGTGTAATCGACGTGTTGGCAGTTCTCATCCACAGTTTTTAAGATATCGCGTTCAAATTTGGTGTGACAGCAGATTCTAATAAAAGCTCGATCGAGGCAAAACAAATGTGAAAACCTGGAATAACTTTATTCTTCTAACTTCAAGACAATGTGTTAGGCCGCGAGGAGGCCATGAGTACCTAGGCTGGCAAAGCATTTGACCTTGAGTGTTAGCGTCCAAGGTTAAAGTTGGTGAAAAAATGTCAAGAAACCACATCGAGGAACATATCGTACGTAAAGGCGTGGCGAGAGCTGAACACACTTTTTTATTTTTTCATAAAGACACTAATGTCATAATTGGCTGATGCTCACCACTCTGTGATGCTCTTGTGCGTCCTGATGACAGAGGTCTCGATGTCGATGGGGTGGTAACGCATCCCTCTGAGTTCCATGGCTTCCTCCAAAGCGCCGACCACGTACAGGGCATCGTGGCGCTCTGTGGACACGAACAGATTTCCTTTCAAGCCACCATGCTGCGCTTTTAGATTAATGTACGAGTTATCAAAGCTTTTAACGTGAACGGTCTTCCTGCACAGATTAAAGTCACGAAGTAAACTCAGCGTTTTCTGCAGATGTCTGAATATCTGACTGTTATGAGCTGGAAATAAACATTTGAGTGTTTTAAATATCAGACTTGATCTCAGCAGAGAGAAAGAGCCAATCAGGAGGAGCCGGCAGCACTTAAAATCAGCGCTGAAGCCGTTTAATCGTTTATTCCTTGTTGTTGTGCGAGATCATTAAAGGTCAGCCGCAGCCCCATTAACCACGTCGACCGTGTTCGACGAACGGCCCGCCCTGACCTCCGCTGGCGTCGGTGAGCTCCGTCCTGCGCAGGAAGCCCAGGTATCCGGTCCGAGCCCAGACGGTCTGCGTGTCTCCAAAGCTGAGCCTGGAGTTGAAATGGTCGGACTGCAGCGCCTCGTCCCCGTAGACGGTGAAGTAACCGCTGGCGTTGTGGCCACTGTGCACCCAGATCTGCAAACGCACAAATAATACAGCAGAAAATAATCATCAAGGGATTATTTCCTCTATAAACGTCAAACAGATGTGGACAAACATCCATGTTTTCACTACATCTTGTCATTTCCACTTGCAGAGCTTCCAGGAGAAAACAAAGATAAGGCCCGGGGGCCAGAATCAGCCCTGCAAGGACTCCAATCTGGCCTAATGGAAAATGCACAGGAGGGGGTATGTTTTGAGCTTTTTTCAGATAAAGACCCCCCCCCCCATGGCCATTCATGCTAAACCAAAGAAATGAAGTAATAAACTGTTAAATGACAGAAATATTCCTGTTTTCCACCATCTACCAAAGGAAACCTTTTAAAAAAACATTTTAGTGAACTAGACAAAGAATATCAGGCGCACCTTTTCTACTGAAATTGGTAAATATTAGGTTTAATTGATCAAATTCAATGAGTTTAAAAAAAAATGTAAATATTTCAGGTTAATGATCACTTACTCTGCTGACCTCAGCAGGTGCATAAAGGCTATCTGGGTCCTGCTTCATGCACTTATATCTTTTTATGGATGCAGATATGAAAGTTGAGTCTCTGATAATTCAAAATAACCCCCAGAATGGAAAAACTTCGAGGACTTTGATGCTCAAACACGATTGGTCAAAGGAGCTTGGAGCAAAGTCCGAAAACCAGAAGCCTTTTTATTTTCACGTACAAATATCTGTTTATAGAGAAGACCATTAAAGCTCAGACAAACCTCTCCCAGATGCGACTCTCCCATTGGTCCCTTGGTCTCTGGGTTGGCGATGATGATTCTGACCCCCGGCAGGATCTGCTCAAAGAGAGAGACGCAGATCGAGCAAAGACCAAAAACAGCTTCTTTGAAAAAGTTAATAAACGTTAAATTTAAATAAAACTGACCTTCCCGGACTCCATCAGTGGCAGGCTGTGTGGCGATCCCCGCTCTACGAGTCTGACCCTGCAGAGCAGACAAACGGGGACGTTTCTGTTAGTCGGCTGCGTATTATCTCTAATCAACATCCCATAATCAGGATTCTGGACAGGATCTTAACTCTGACTGTTGACCACTAACGGCTAATGTTGATGTGATGTAAAAAAACAAAAACAGAATTGTGGGAAAAAGCTGAAACAGTAAAACTAAAAATAAACCAGGACGAGTGGTTTGTCAGACTGCAAACACGGAGAGCCTGTGGTAGACTCGGGCCAGCTTAAATCAGCAGTGATTACATGTAATCATGCACACTGACAGTTATATTTATACACAGCGGGATTGCACGGCCCTGCTGCTTCGTGCGCTGCGACTTTTCTGTGTGGAAATCAGCAGACACAGGCTGAGCACCGTAATGACGGGCTGCATCAGGGAGCAGGAAACTGCGTCTGGGGAGCTTCAGGGATGAGTAACAAGCTCCTGACGAGTTCAAATTAATGCATTTTTCAGTTTGTGCCGGTTTCTTGCTGGTCGTTTCGCCGTTGTTCCTTTAATCCCGCAGGCCCTTCTCGTCAGAGATGTTTGAATAAGTCCGAGTCTCGCTTGTTATCTCGGATGTGTTTGTCCATCTCCACCAGCTGGAAAACTGACGGCGTTTCTCCTCTGAAATCTGACACTGATGTTGAGCCCTGGCTGGTTCATTAGGAGTCAGAGCTGTCTCACTGACAAGCAGCAGTCTGGCAAAACAAATGGCGGTGTTACCCAGCAGGAAATGTGACTCAGACTGGGTTTGATGGGTTTTAAAGTTCACCCCTCTCACACTGTGGAGAGGCTGTGAGGGTGACAGTGTGCATGTCATATTGTCTCAGAGAAACTTCCAGCTTCTCATTATATTCAGACTTTTTTACCGTCAGCCTGCAGCGATGCTTCTGAGCTGCAGAGAATAAGCCTCGCATTACAATAACAATCTTTGCTGAGCACTTTATTTATTCTGAGAGCGCTTGCCGAGTCGTGTTCTCTCATTCACAAACTTCACGAGCGAAGCCGTCCGGCAGAGCGCTGCGGCGCCGCTGAAATCCCGCAGGACACCGGCTGAAGACTTTACAGCACAGAATAGACTCTGTGTCTGCGTGAGAGTCGACGGAAAACCGATTCAGTGCATGAAAACAACATCTAAAAAATACTCAAGGCTGGTGTTGCCGACTCCAGCCGAGCACGAAAATCCATCGGCCTGAAGAAACGTCAGCCATAAAATACCTGGAAGAAAATATTTTGTGTTTGTTGAACCATCTGACAATGTATTTTTTTAATTAATGCTGCAACACACTCTGAATGTGTCTCCATTTCCAGTCTGCGTCACGCTTCTCAGTTTCACTGCTGCTTGGAGAGCAGTTGGCATCTTTCATGCAAATTACTGGTGACCAAAGCAGTCGTTAAGAGGTTTCAGACACCGAACATCTTTCTGCAAAAGTATCTGTTAAGCTTCTAACAAAGCAGCAAGGACACTTACCTGTCATGTCGCAGCGCCCTCATATCAACATAAACAGTTGTGGGGTCAGGTCCTGAGGTGCCCTGAGAAACACCAGCGAGAGAAAGTGTGAACACCACAGACTCACAAAACGTCCTTTTTATTCAAAAAAGGCTTTTTATGCAAAAATTGCTACAGCTTATCGACTCCTAGCAGACTGCAGTGGATGCTGTGTGGTCATAAAGAAAAGCTTTACCTCCACTGAAGGAGGGACGTAAATGTTTTGGGTGGGAAGGTGGGAACCCGACCCTCTACAGCAGGGGTGGGAAACTCCAGGCATCAAGAGCCGGTGTCCTGCAGGTTTTAGTTGTTTCCTTAATCCAACACAGCTGATTTAATTGGCTAAATTACCTCCTCAACAAGTTCTCCAGAAGCCTGGGAACAAACTAATCATTTGATTGAGGTGTGTTGACCCAGGGTGAGATCTAAAACCTGCAGCACACCAGCGCTCGAGGCCTGGACTTCCCCACCCCTGATCTACAGCATTTACAACAGGGTGAAACGATCAATGTGGGAGCAACAGCAGTGATTGTAGAAGGAAAGTCAAACAATTTAAATAAATGCACATCAACAAACTTTCTGCAACGTCAGATTCTACCTGATTGACATGCAAACGATAAAGTAAAGAAGGGGAAAGTGATTAGTAGCTGCAATTATACCCGTGTGACGACCCACCCAGGACAAATTCACTGTTTCTAAAGTACACACAGGTTGCACAATACATGCATTCAGTCAGATCTCTTTGTGCCGACTACTGTACTCTGAATGAGTGAAATCACTGAAGAAAAATTAAGACAGAAAAAAGGACGAGATTAAGGATCCCCCCTCTCCGACCTCTCTCCTCCTCCATCCATCCCTCCATTAATCCAGGATTAAAAACCCACCACCGGACACACAGCGGCATCCTGGGAGTCTTACGTCCACACACCCACAGTGCAAAAATGCAAACGCCCTCTCTGAAGAGACTTCAGGCAGTGACCGCTTCAAGAGTATTCAGTGATTTATTGGCAAAGGGAAATTTGATTGGAACAGGCAGAGCAAACATCCTTTGGTGCTGGACTCACACCACAGAGAGGCACATGCACATGTATCCTTGCACTGTCACGTATTCGTGATTTCTGGGAGTTAGCTGCAGCACTGAGCTGCTGCGGCTAACGAGCTTGTTGATAGCAGCGGAAACGTCTTGATGCGTTCTCTGCTCATCTGGACGTAGCGTTTTGTGGGAGAAACGTTTCGTCACTCGTACAGGTGACGTCTTCAGTCTCAGCTGACTGCAGGTTTCAATCTTATAAACAGTACATTTGCATAATGACTGAAACCAGCCCACTGAAGGAACAGTTCCTTCCACTGCATTGATCAACAACCACTGTGGTTGTTGATCAATGCAGTGGAACTGACCTCCCAGCCCATGATTTATCGCTGTATAAATAAAATAGAATTTTTAATATATTCACTGGTCTCATTGCTTTGAATCAGAATTATTATTATCTACTTTGCAGTCTTAATAATCTTATAGATCTGATAATTTTTTACTAGCCTATTGTTTGGTGGTTCCTTTCCTTAATTGTTTTATAATGCCACTTGCCTTACATCTGTCTCTTTACTCAGTCTTATGTTATTTATATGCAGTAGTTTTATGGCTACAGCCTCTATGCTTTTAGGGTTAGGGTTATATAAAGAAAAATATAAAGGAAGATTTGCTTGCATGTTTCTATGATGGAAAAAAATCGAGCCATACATGCAAATCAGAGCAGAATCATAGACGGAAGAAGAGACGTGAAAGCGGGAGCGGGTGACTCCAGATAGAGACGAGGGGCGTCACCCGCTGATTACACTGGAAGACAGTCTCCTAATGAGTCTTTGGTCTTAATCACTTGCTTTCTTTGGTGTAGCATTTTATAAATTATGGCCTAGTTTAAAGTAAAAGCAGGGCGCGGCTAGCTTGTGATCGATGAGTCACTGTTGTCTGGGGCTCCTCTCCAGCCCAACTAAAGGTCTAGTTCACAAATTTGTGGGTTATAGCAGAGTGGCTATGCTGCTTTATTTGATCTATTTTAAGATGGATTTTATTGCAAATGTTCTGCTGTTTGTTCTTTTTGTTGCTGGGAACAGAACAGATGTCAATCATCTGTATTTATAATTCATCTGACTGGAGACGTGTCAGCTGTGAGTAACACATCTACAGATTTGGGGGGTTTTCTCCTGGAAAGTATAATAAATCATCTCATGTCAAAGTTCAGCCAAAATACTGAGTGGGCGAAATCCACAGAGTAAAGCTGCTCCAGTGTCCCTGATATTGACTAAGTGCCATCTGATGAGAGGTGTGCTGGCAGGCAGTGGGGTGGTGATGGTGGCGGTTATTGCTGTTGGGCGGGGAAGGTTGATGGTGGTTTCCTACCTGGTCGGCAAGTTTTCCCAGCCTGTGAGGCTACAGCAGCAAAGAGGGGGCGGAGGAGGAGGAAAGTGAAGGGGTAGAAGAGGAAGTAAAGAAGGAGGGAGGGTGGAGACAAAACCAAGTATGAGAAATGTGGGTGGGGTTATGCACAAAACAAGGAAGTAAGAAAAAAATGTCAAAAGGGTAAAACTCAGAAAACCAAAACAAGCAGTAAGAACAGAAAAGAGTCTTCAGCCAGATGTTAGTCTGCTCATTTAAAGCTGCCAAACAAAGTTAAAGCTTACAGTAAGTTAGTGTGTGACGATTTCAGTGTTACGACTGTGTTAGCGTGCGAGTCTGCAAATTAAACTCGCTGACGATTAAAAGGCTAAATTATATTAGAGTTTCATATCGCCCCATTAAGTCTGTAAAATCTTTATAATATAATAACTTCTCTTAACAATTCATTTAATTCCTGACGTGGCTGAAAGCTGCAAATCAGATCTGAAATGTAAAAGCAATGATCAGCTTGAAATGGAGGATGGTCCTGAACCTGAGACATACAGGAAATGAAAAACCGCTCTGCAGGTGAAGAGAATGACTTTTTGTTTTTAGTGTCCAACCCTCCGACTGTTCCGGACGAACGCCGCGCATCTGCAAAAACGGCACATTCAGACGTTCTTGCATTGCGGTCCAAACACTCTTACAGGCTTCAGCTGAGCAGGAGTTGCAGAAATCCTTCAAGTGATAAACGAAGCTGTGAACAAAACTGCACTTCAGCGGAGATCGGCTAGATTTGCTGACTGTTAAAAACTCGTTAAAGGCTGGATATCTGTGATCTTTTCTTGTGGGGAAATCAAACATCTTCGACTTGTTCTCGGTGTTTACCCAGCAGGCCTCGAAGAAACAACAGAAACACCGAGCACAGAAGAACTGCTGTTTGTGTTGCTCAACATCACACTTTGTAAAAATATAATTTTTCATCTCATCTGCTTGTTTACATCCACTTGTGATGAACATGAATGACCTGTTTTGGAAAAAGAAGAATAAGGTGCACAAGTTGAAGTTTACGAATTCCCGCCTGGGCCGTCCGTATCCAGTAAGGGTCCTGGGCTAGACCCCCCCATGTCTAACCAAGCCTACTTGAAGCAGTAAGTCATACCGGCTCAGATCAGGTGTTGAGGAGCCAGGGCACCCTGAGGAAGTGGCTACTGGAACAAGAAGGCATCACTGGGCAATAGACGTGTGTTGGAACGCTACTACACAAGTAACCCCAGCAGACGGCGTTAAATTGAATCTTTGATACCCAACAGAAGGGGTACAACAAACATGCTACGATGATATCATCACCCCCACCCCGAGATTGGGTACCAAGCCCCAAGTGATCGTTGAGTTACAGTAGGATAGGTTACCAATGCAGCACTACAGACAATACCACTAACCAGCTGATCTACGCTGCTAGGCTGAACTTGGCCGCCGCTTGAAGAGAAAGCGTTATGTGTTACCGTGTGGTAGCCATCAACAAGCTTTTGACCAAAAAAGTTGGAGTAGATGTAAACTTCTGACCACATCTGTAGGTCTAAGACTCTTTAAGCTTCGCTCAGGGGCAAACACTAAGAGACAGATATTTTAAAATGCTGCATCTTCAGTCATCTCGACTCTTCTTTGGTTTCATTCTGATACTCAGATCTGGGACGCACCCAGTACCAAGGACAGTGGTGTAAACGTGCCGTTCACCAAAGATAGCTCAGAGCTTATTATTCAGACCTCACCATACAAGCAGTCCCACAGGTACTGTCATATAAGGAAAAACATGAAACACAGCAGTCGGATGAATAAACCAAACCAAGCCAAACAGCTTCCTCTGACTGGCTTTCCCAGAATAACTCAATCCGTATTACTGTAATCACTTTACAGTATTTTATACCAGACAACAGACTGAAGCACAGGATCAAACGTTCATATTCCATATGTTTTGTTCTTTTTCAAATTTCCAAGTACGTGCGGCTGTGGCATAGATCCTCGACAGGTGAAAAACAGGAAAGCTCCACATATGTTCTTTGGCATCTTTAGGAAAAGCTTTAAGATATCACTGTGCTTTGTACCACGGTGCCTGAAACGTGACGCACGTTTACTTCTGCTGGACTCAAACAGTTCAACATTTCTCCTACTCCATCCTGTCAAGGTGTAACGCATCAGACCGTCGTCTGCGCTTGTGATGGACTGACAGTGACGACCATCTGCTCAGCTGAATAACGGACAAAATCCTTCTTGTACCTCGTGGATTAAAGTGGACGAGCAGATATAACCACAGCCTCGGTTTAATGTGATTTATCTGCTGTTAAGTTGAATTTCCCTCAAGTTCATCCGAGTAGGACAGAGTTAATGTCGTTGGAACAGATATTTGGGGGGGTTTCCACCCAGTTTCACACTTTTCTACTTAATGCATAATAATTTCTGATGTAGGGATCAGAGAACTGTGGTTAATGGCTTAAACGCAAGAATACCCTTGTATCATTAAATATGAAAGGATAAATTCTCTGATACCCTAAACTCTGCAAAATCTCAGGCTGCCTGATCTGCACATACCGCACTCATGTGATGAAGATGATGTAAATCTTCCTTTCTCAGTTACAAACTTCTAACAATGGAGTTTTTACATGTTTGAGTCCTCGTTTGAATCAGATCTTAGTTTTTGTTAATGAGAAACTTGTTTCACATGTACCCAAGCTGCAGATGCCACAGTGAGGGTTAAGGGTGCTTCCTGCAATTCTTTCTTCAATACCGAATATTGAGCACAACCGCTAATAACATGCCTGTCCTACAAAAAAAAAACCCCAGCTAGGTTCTTAAACGTGACACCAAGAAATGCTCGAAGGCAAAGCAGAAGCAGGAAGTCGGACAGACCTGCAGGCAGATTGCCAGGTTGACCCTGCAGCCGAAGGAGGTGCTGACGGCTCGGGGGTGGAGTCCCAGGTCCTTGAAGAGTTTGGAGAAGGACTGCGTCAGGGCTATCCTGGGACGCTCCTCTGCTACAACCACGCAGGTCCTCACTCGAGACAAGTCCAGCCCTCGAGCCTGACGGGACAGAAAGGATTTCACAGTCAGAAGGTTTGTCGGTCGTTAAATTCAACCAAGGTTTCCGTGAGACGGAGCCGCCTGCCCCGCTTTACCTTCAGCGAGTCCGTCTGCAGGCCGAGGCCTTTGGTGCAGAGCTCCATGACGCTGTAGGAGCAGAAGGTGTCGCGAACTTTGTACTGACTGACGGCTGACAGCCAGAGAGCCGGGTTCACTTCCAGCTCGGACGGAGGGATCAGGATGGACTGGTGACCTGAGTACACACTGCAGAGAGGAGAGCGCCGAGTACGGCGAGACTGCACGGTTACATGATTAAAGATCTACAAACATGTCCGTCATGAATACAAAGGAAAACACAAACTAGTGATTATTAATTATACTGAAACTTAAAGAGCAGAGAAAACAGAAACAACCTGGTCATATAAAAGCCTCAAACAGGAACATTCAGAAAGTAAGAAATGCTAAAAACTTCCATTTTAGCTCTAAATAAGAACTAGGAACTACGATTGCCGACCTGCAAAGGCACCAGAGGACAAAGCCCAGGCCGCAGTACGGGTCCAAGCAGATGGCGACCTCTCTGGACGGGTAAAGCTCACACTGCAGCTTGATGGAGCGGCAGAAGGCACTGGTGGCTGTGTGAGACATCTGCAGGAGAAAATCTCACATGAAAATCTTCTTCTTTGTCAGTGCACTTTTTACTAAAAAAAATATGAAAGTAGGCTTGAAAACTCTGTGCTGTTTATTTGTTTCAGTCAGTGGAGACCTGTGGAGATCGTCTCTGTGCTGCTGGGAGGTTTTTCAAGCAAAACTGAGAATCAGCTGTGGGG